CTTTCCCCTGGATGATAATTTGAACTTTTATATATATGCACTCAAATTTTGATTGAGACAATAAATTATGGAAAAACAGCATCAAACTGCAAGAAGGTCTTCAAAGGTGAAGATATAATGGAATAATTAAGCATAAAAAGGTTGCTTCACAGGTTTTGAAAGTGTGTTATTGCATGTGCTCCCACAATTTAAGGCGGGAATACTGTAAATATTTGCACTTGAACGGGATTTTGACTCGATAATTAATGCTTCATTATTTCCTGGTTTTATACAGAAAAATCCATCTCAACGAAGCTATTGCTGGGACCAGTAAAACAGCTTCGTTTTAATTGAAAATTCGTTAAAAAGTAACTCATTTAAAATTGTTTCTATTATAGGGCAGGGACATATAAAAAAATTAAGTCGTTGTTCGCTATAATGAAATTATTCGTAATGATCTTCTACCGTATTTTAAATACTTCTCATCTAGGTTGAAATTGATTGAGGATGACATTGAAAATATGTCCGACGATATAAAAAAAAAAAAAACCTCAGGGTGCAACTACGAAATATTTTATAAATCTACGTTGAGCCTGTCATGCCTAAAATTACGAAAATTCGACAATTTTCAGATTGGGAATGTCGCTGAACAGCCAAAAAACCGTTCAATAAAAATGTGTGATTTTGGCACGACTCATGCTGGTCATATATTGTAATCGAGAAATTTTCCCGGCACCATTAATTGGTGAACATAATTATGCAGTCCAAAATCCTTGGGAAATAAAACGAAGGTTTGTTTTACGCATTTGTATCATCTATAACACGCAGAAGTTCTGACAATAATCTGATTCAGAAATTTGGGTTCACAAACCACAAAACTACGCATTGAACCTCTTTTCAAAGGTCTCGTATATTTACAACATTTTTGAATCACCCCTCTCGCATGTAATTTTATGCACGAAGAAATTACAATACTTGAATGCACCGCCCTGATCTTGGGTAGTTGACAGATCAGCAGATGACCCACGCCGTCACTTTGTTAATAAAATTACAAATTTGATTGAAAGAAGCCTTTATTGCTGATTTCGTTTCGTGTTAATAATCGTTTATTCAATTTATACTTTCACTTGAGCAGTTTTGCTCATCCGCATAAAAAAATAATGCAATTGATGCCGATTAAAATTGGCACACTGGAAAAGGGGTAAAATAAGAAACCGCAGATTAACTTAAGAGGATTTATTCTCCGGCATAAATTTAACTCGCGTTACACTTGATGTTGACGTTTGGGTGAATATATATGTTCCAGGCAAAAATATATGGGCACAGTTCTGATTCTTTTTAAATTACAAGTCCTGTCAGCTTCAAGGAAATCGTATGATGTCGGGCGACATCTCTTAAAATACATGCATGGACGTCGTGTCAAAATACAGTATTCAAAGTTGACTTCGAATTGCGTGTAGGTACTTTTTACAAATCAAATTATATTTTTACAGTACTTGCTGCAAAAATATATGTTTACTCGAAACGTTTTTACAAAACGCAAATATCGGCATGTAAATCATTTGAAGTCTGTAATTAAGAACGCTTATATGCAGTACTCTTCAAATTGAATATTATATAAACCTTCTTAATTGCAGTAATGTGACTACATAAAAAACTCGAGCTTTCCGCCAAACCTGTCCGAAACAAACATATGCAAATTTACTCTGATCTTATTTGAATCAAGAGATCTTGCGGGAAATCACAACAGAAAACAGTAAATTTCCATCTGATTCCCAAACTTTTGAGTTTTTATTCTGCAGCAGATAAGATTCTCCCAATCAGCCCAGCTTCACCTCTAAATAATGTTTTTTTCGGCTGACAAAAAGGGACTTATCTCAGGAAAATGATTTCCAGAAATTTAGATGAACTACTGCAGTTGCGGTAACTTCTCCACCTAATAAATCTAGGCTATATACGCAAAACAATCTAAATTTTGTAAAACGTCATGAAATCTTTTAACAAAGGTTCGGGAGCTTGCAGAATATGAACTCATTACACTCCAAGTATGGAATAATTAATGTGACTCAACTAGCCCATTCCAGCAGATCCCTCAGAAATGTCCGACATAAATTCTTAGGGAAAAAAGTGAAAAATTATATTAGACGTGGAACATAAACATGTAGCAGCAAAAACATTCCGGAAGACGGAAAACATGCTCATCACAATTAAGAATGTATAGTATCACAATTTTCGTGATGTACAGTTGAAAATTATACTCCGTCGTGCAAAAAAAGATCATTACACGGGGTATTCATTATTCGGAGTAAATCTCGATTTCTCATATGGACGTTATTTGTGTATACAGTATAGTGTACTGTATAGAGAATATATACAGTAGAGTACTTGAATCATATTTCATAATATGTATGACAATGTTTTCACTAGGAAAGTCATGTACCACAGTATGTATATTCCACGTTTCCCACAAAAGTAACTTCAATATTCTAAAGGCCCGTTTTCATGGACATTTCTTTACCTGAAAAAATAGGTCAACTTGCTATCCACAAAGCAAAAAAGTGCTGGAGTAAAACGCGGAATGGAAATGTGCAAGATAACAATGAGGACATTATAAACGCTCGTTATCGGAGTACCATCACTTGCTTCTTGAATATTTCATTGTGGTGATATAGTTTCAAGGTTCTTTTTTCTGACTTCGGAAAACGCAAGAAAGATCGAGAGATTGTTTGTATAGGCAGAGGGTTCAGGGGCAGGTTCGCATCCGGATGATGCACGCCGCGCCGGACGCGAGAGAAAAAAACGCGTGCATGTACATCAGTTTTTTTTTCTCTCGCGTATTTTTACGGGACGCACTTTTTGCGCCCCGTGCGACTAAACTTCTAGGCTTCAAGTTCAAACGCCACCGTATACATGTTATTAAAGACCGGCCCTGTCTGCTTTTCTTGGCCGCTTTGGCCCGGGAATACATAAGAGAGACGACGATGAGGGGCTCAGGCGGAAATGGTCGCACAATCCACAGCAGAAAACCTGGCAAGCGATACGGGATTCCATGGCTTCCCCCCGTATGTGCTGTGACCTCACGTACGGGTTCGCGTTATTTTTCCCGTCGTCATTCCATTCGGGGATGCGTGTTGGAGAAGGAGAGAGAAAAATGGAAAGCTGATGGATCTTCCCCCTGTTTTCCGCACTGAAGAGAAGCCTGCATAAAATTCTGCGAGAACTTTGAAAAAAATGGCATTGACCCGCGTCAGCTGATGAGAGTAACGATAACGATGATGATACCGAAGAGGCCTTGAAATGCACTTCCGGCAGTGCACAACGTACCATGCGCGGTACCGGAGGGTCTTCTACGTCCATCACAGAGGTTCTGAACTCTTACATTTTGAGGAAAATTCATTTTCATCAACTCTTATTCTGATTCTATAAAATGCTAATCCCAGTAATAGGGCATCCTTTCTGTAATGTACAGTACAGTCAAAACCCGTTGAGATGACACCACCCGATGAAGTGCCGCCCTCGGTATATAATTGCCAAATTTTGTATTAGACAAATATCTATCTTGAATACAGCAGAAAACCTCGATAAGACGCCAACCGATAAAATTTGGATGAAATCTTATGAAATGAAATTTTAGCCTGATGACACGGACCCCACTTCAAGTACAGTAATTGAAAACTACAATATATCAGAAATAATAGACACCAGAATTAAAATTTTGACATGAATTCAGCATGAAGTCAATTAATTTTCTAATGTTTCGATCCTAAAAAAAGTTTCAGCCAAAAATTGCCCAGGATATTCAGGTGTGAATTCATCTTTTGAAAATTTTTGAAAATTGTATCCCCACTTATGGGGATCCAGTTAAAGCGCGCCCCGCCACCCCCTTTCCCTTTCGATTTTGAGAAAAAAAAGTTGCCCGTGGTCCTTGAATAAATAAGGTAAAAATCAAGCATTCGAGGATAATCTATCATGAAAAATATATTTTTAAAAATGACCCGCGATAATCAACTCAACTTTGTACATCGTAGCATCCAAGAACCGAACCACGAAAAGATAACACTCATTTCGAATATTCGCCAGCTGATAACGCAATGGCAGAAAAAGTGCTTGCATTCAGGCAGAACTGGTAACGATGTCATCAAAACAGGCAATAATAGGATGCCTTCTTCTTAGTGTGAACATTTGTTTTCTGAACCCATCAGATGCGTGCACGGCAGGAGCTCAGAATGATGAAAAATGTCCACACGTCTGGGATCCCGCAATGGTAAGCAATTGAGCAGCCGCAACTGCAACGAGAACGCAAACGTTTAATGAGAGAGATTTATTCACAGATTTTCGATTTTTTCCTGCACAAAATTTAGATCCGAAAATCCCTCGCGAGATCTGCCGTATCATCAGGACGAGCACGCGCAAAGTGCAGAACAGACGCCAATTGTCCGAAAAATTACTGCTGCGCTTCTGAGACCATGGTTTTATACCCTTATCCAACCCAAGTGGTCTGTGAGTACAGTCACGCACCGTAATATAGGAATAGGGTCCACTTGAAAACATTTTTTTTCCAAGTTGGCAAATACAAAAATGTATTGATTAATTTATGCGAAAATTGCAGGGCATTGTAAGCCGTTGGCGAAAGAGGGCAAGTACTGCGATAACTTGGGAAACCAGCACTGTCCTTGCGAGCCACACTTGACTTGTCGCTCGGAGGGGACGTGGTTTTTCGGGACTGGTCGCTGCAGAAATCGTTCTTGAAGTGCTGTGAACATCTTTCAATTATGAAAAAAAAACTATGAGAAGAAAATGAAGTCGGTAATTTTCAAAAATGTCTCACCGAAACCCACGGATAGCGTTTTCGAGCTGATAGCATGCATTCGAGTCAAGTCCACCTCCATCAGTGAAGCGGTCTTGATCCGTCATCTGATGACGATATAGCACAAAAGAAATCTTCCTATAAATATTACGTCTGCAGTGATATTCTCCATACAACGAAGTTTTGTTGCTTCCAAAAGACCTGCAATCGATGTATGCAATAATGGACAACTTCTCGAAAACTATAATCTCTATAAGCAACGAATGCATTTTCAATCCCTTCAATGTCGAAGTACAGTAGTACATATTGATCATTGGGAACATATTAGCTTCCGAAAAATAATAAAGTGAATGATGTTGATTCTCCCTTTCGTATCTCTTTACATTTCAGCCGCACAGAACATTACCAAGGATATTTAAAAATAGATTACGTTACTATCATTCAGAAATTATTGATGAATTTAAAATACTCTTCCTTCGACGTTGGACACGTTAATTCCGTCAAATATAAGGATCACTATATTCAAGTCACTTGAAGCTCACTCGTCGACTTATATACACAAGTAAATTTGATAAGTTCCGAAGTGCTTTGTATAAATAAAGTAAGGAATGCTCACTTTTAAAAGTGTAAGTTTCATCCGTACATTATGAAGAAAAGCCCATTCCGTTCCTTTGGCAAGTATATTTCTTTGCCACCTAGCCGGAAGCTCTTTTGGGGGAACGAAGAACATAACACCTTCAGTACCTGCGATTTCTGCAGCTCCAATTTTAGTAGAATAGTTCAACAATATTTCATCAAGTTAAAAAGCTCGAAATTATCGCTCGGTAGTGCAGCATTAATCCACCTACGGTTGCATCGTCGAGGTTTGGCAATAAATAAAAAGGAACACGGAGGTTATTCGCAAGCAGAAAAAAAAAAGTCGCTTCACTGATACAAACTTCACATCAAGCAGGCAAACACAAGGGTAAATATTTTTACATTCAGAAATGAATGAAGACAGAAATCGTGTCCAGGCTAGAACGAATTTAGATTTTCATTCCCGCCGGTTCTTCCACACGTGATCTAGATCAAAGAAATTCTCGCCACCCAGATAATTAACCGGGGAAGGTTTCAGCTTCCCGGCAATCAAAAAGACGGTCAACAGCAGGTGCTCGAATTCTGCACATTCATATTTCTGAGTTAAAACCCTTCAATCCGAATATTTCGTTCCTCAAAAAAAGACAAATATAACGCCTCGGGAATGATGCCAATGATTGCGTGAATCTCGGGCAAGAACAATGGTACAACACGACGAAATGACAAGAAAAGAATAGGAGACTCGTTCGAGGAAAACTTCAAGAAAGGGATAATTGTACAATTCCACAAACGAAAAAAACCCTTCAAAATCTATCCACTTTCAATACATGAGCGATTCCGAGAAAAAAATCAAATCAAACATTTTTCTTTTCTTTTAAAAAATCAAGCGTGGCTCTGAAAAAAAATCAAGCCAAAACCGAGAGAAGCACGATAAACGAATCACGAGCTCACATACCAAAAAAAGCTTAAATGCATCAGTTGATTCATTATGTGACTAGAAAAATTTCGTAATTGATCGCGACCTTCATCAGCCTTGAAATTAGAACACAAATTGCAAATATAATTTCAGTGCAAATCGGCAGATATTTGGCACAGAAAACACCTACCGCACAGCACTACGTTGAGTCTCTCCAGACTTCGGAAGGAGGGAACAAACGAACTAGCATACTGTATACACAATAACGTTTCTCACGAATCCTTGTTTCTAATAGAATCACAAAACTTCTGACGAACGTCTTCTAATCAATACGGCTGTACAATTTCACGAACTACCACAAAGTGTCCTTCGGTCCCCAAGAAAAGCAAGGGCCCAGTCAAGTTATGACATGTTTGCGAACGACTCGGCGGAGATTTTTTCGAGTACCCTGTTCCCAGAAAATAAAAAAACTCTGGCAAGCCTTAAGCCAATAATTTTTGAATAAAAATTCAGAAGGCCTCTCGAAAAAACGAAATTTTCTCAGTACCTCAATAATTCTCATGTACTGAAGTCAATTAAGTTAAGAAATAACAGCGTGCCTCTCAAGTATTGCTATAATCGCATGATTCGTAATGATCGCGGGTTTCAATCTTAAAATTCACACAATTCAAGCAGATTTCGTGACGCTAAAAACCAAACCGAGCAGACAAATCATTTGAAAGACCAAACCTCCACTGGTATAGGATCACGTTCAGGACTCAACAACCCGTTTGTTCATTACATATCTAAGTACTTAGAATAAATAACAGCCCATCCAGACGACAAGAGATATGAAAAAGAAAGGGGGTAAATAGCCAGGAGATATGAAGACGATGGTGTTAGGTCGAAACGCAATTCTTGATCCACATAATTGAGTTAGCATCAGGCCAGACGCGAGTACATATCATCTAGTTGAGGCTTGAAATAGCGGCGAAGATCTGGTCGCTTCGATTTCAAAGTCGGGGTGAGCAGTCCGTTTTGAATTGAAAACGGATCCGGGTGCAAATAAATGTCTTTCACCTGTTGAAACCAACGAGAAAATTACAGTACATCAGATTCACACAAATCTATCGTCAATTTTGCTTAAAAACGACATCAAGCGATAACTGCTAAATATTCAATTCTTTGCAGTACAGTAGCAAACGCGGCAGAAAATCTCAAAATGAGAACAAGTATCTTCCAACAAGAAAATCCCGTCGAAAAGATTTTCTAATTACTTCTTCGAAGCCACCTTCTCCGTCACACGTTACCAATCTTCAATTATTTGTTAGCATGCGCTTTTCTAAATGCCTCCAAAATGTCCCTCGCAATCACGAAATTTATATATTTTCCGGCTACAGTGACCGAAGCACGAACATTTTTTAATCTTCGCAAAATATTCATCAAATTTCGAGTCACTTTCTGGATTTCGTGAAAATCCGTAGAATTCGTTGTCAGACTTACTTGTTCAAAAGATTTTAATCCAGCATCGGAACCCAGACGAACCATGTCATCCATGATCAGCTGCTTAACCGACGCGTTGGAGCAAAGTACTGAGAACGTACCACCCATGCCATGCATTTCAGCGTAATGCTTCAGCACGACTACATCCGGCACAACGATGGCAATGATACTCGACTTGAAATAGGAGAGAAGGAAGAATAATATTTACGCGATGAATCTGGAAACACGCATGCTTTTTGTCAACAATAAAAAAAGATTTTCCGCGACTTTGAATTACGGTAATTCAACCTTTCTTCGTGGATTTGTGCAGTCATTACCTTCAAACTTTCGCCGTGTACGAAGATCTGGGAAACATATTCAGACCGGGTGTAGATGTTCTCGATTTTCTCAGGGGCCACGTATTCACCAATACTCAGCTTAAAAATATGCTTTTTGCGATCCACAATCTTCAATGTACCATTCTGAAATCATTTAAAAATGAATAAAATTTCCGAAAATTGAAGGAAGCTTCATGACACCAACCGGAAGCCACATGCCGATGTCACCAGTGTGAAGCCATCCGTCACGATCAATCGTTTCGGCAGTTTTCTGTGGATTTTTGAAATATCCCTGCAAGAAGAAATAAACGGAAGGGCATTGATTTCTGCATTCCTTTTACTTTTCGAAGCGATCAAAGAAATCAACTTCAAAAAAAAAAGAATGAGAAAATTTTTTGATGAAAAACTGAAAGATTTCTCGACAAAAAACAAGATGTTCAAGGTTTTATCTTCATTGCGAGCAAGTTTACGTTGATCGTTCGCACACTAACGGTTTACAATATATTTTTGATTTCCTTCATCACGTCGTAGCTCTTCATAAACAATAAAAAAATAAATACACGCCTGAAAAACGTTGGATCCTTTCACGCAAACTTCGCCCTGGCCAGCAGAAGCGAAGTACTCCATTTCAGGAACATCAACGAGCTTGACCAGATTGCAGGGCAACGGAGGTCCAACGTGGTCCACGAGCCAGTCTCCTTGGACGGTTAGAGTACAAGGGCTCACGCATTCGGTCTGACCATAACCTTCCACTATCTGTGATTGAAAATTATACATTGAGAAAAATTACCCGAAAATCTTTGCTTCCGTTTATCGTTCGTGCGTTAAAAGATTCATTAAAAACATTATTCGTCGCAACTCAATTTCAACTGTAATCGCGCCTTTTGCAAGAACAAACCGTAAAGAAAAATGCCAAAAATGACGAAGTTTTACTGTAGTCATAATCAATATTATAGTTTCATAAACTTGAAAATTGACTTTTAGAATTAATTTACAGGGTACTACGAGGAGGGAAATCTCCTGCGCTGCGCGTTTCGCTCTCGTATATCAAGATCGCTTTGCGCGATTGTCTCAGGGAGTACTTAGTATGGTGCAGATACAAGGGAAAAAACAGTTGTGCCATTTGCTTATTTTATCGGTAGATGGCAAAGAAACTCGGGATACAATGTCACATTCTGAACTCACCACGCAGCCTAGTGCACATCGCATAAAGGTTAACACAGTCGCATCCATCGGAGCAGAGCCAACAACTACTAATCGCACACGACCTCCCATTCCTTCCTGCACTTTTTTGAAGACCAGCTTGTCCCAAAGGCTGTCTTGACGAATTATGGACCTTTGAAAGCAAATCGAAACTGATTAAAATCTTTCATTGACATCAGTGCTCCAAGTTATGCCTATCTGAAATGAAAAACAGTTATTCGCGTGAAGTGAAGATCATCGAGAGAAAAAATTCACGAAAAAAGATTTCAAACGAGAAAAAAGTTTAATGGATACATTTCCAAGGGCAGTGGTTGCGTTTGTCATGGCATCGAACGGACATCAATCGATCTCATCTTGTTTTAAAGAGGAACTACGGTGAGCTAAGGCGTATTTGGAATTAATCACATAGTGTCCTTTACGCTTCGTAAGTGCTATCAAAATCTTGAAATTAGGTTTGTTGGGCACCGGTAATCAATTTTTCAAGTTTTAATTCACTGAATTCTAAATTACGGAGGAATTTTGGTTGACAGATAATTGTAGTCACTTGAGACGTTTTTAAAATTATTTTCAAAAAAGCACTTCACTTTGTTGCTGTTGAAAATTTAAAATTACGGCTGATACAACGTATTTACGGTACCCATGATGGGGTACACTTCCAGCGTTGAATTTTGACTTTGTGAGAGACAAATCGAAGGAACAGTCACGAGATAAAATAACGAATTATTACTCTGAAAAACTTGAATCCAACACAGGAAGCACAAGACGAACAAAATGTAACAAACCAAACCAAACCTCGCAGATCATTTGAAAAAAATTCTTACACCAAATATCAAGTCCTCAACACAGAAAATGATTGAAAGCAAATACTGTATAGTGTGACAAGAGTAAAATATACCTCCGAATTTCTGCCTCTTTGCGAGACACGGCAAGCTTGAGAATTGCCTTCTTGATGGGAGAGGTGCTCGCCTCGGCCCAAACTTTGTCGTAAATGCGGTTCATGAGTCGCGGAACAGTCGGGAACAAGGTTGGCCGCAAAGCTTTCATGTCGTCTGGAAGCGTTCGAATATCTCCACAGAAGAAGCCCAGTGCACCACCAACCATCAACATTCCCACCTACATAATTGAAGAAGACGCTTTAATGAGAGGTCTCGTTTGAACTGCGAGATCGTCTCAGAAATCATGCGTACTAGCTCCAAGTGACAAATTTCACGAACGTAGAAAGGAAAACAAGAATAGAACTAGACTCGTTATGTTAGCAGTTCTGCTTCGAAGCAAAGGATTTCTTGAATTGTTTTCAACTTTTTCTGAAGGAAGACGAAAACACGCACTATGAGTTCCTTTAGTTGTTCCCCCCCCCCCCTCCCCCCACAAAAAAGGGATTCTCCCAGCAGGTCAATGAAGTTTACGAGCAGCTGACAGACGTCATTCCGAACCATGTGGGAGCTCATCAATGAAATATTTATTGTAAGACCATCGCTTCAAGCACAAACATAAAATAAACAAAGAAATCATCGATCCAACATTTCGACATACTTGACAGGAACGCTCAAGCATGTGCGCCAGCGGCAAATAAGAGATCATGACGTCTGTGCTACAAGGGCGCACGCTCCCCAGTTGGAAGCAAACCGCACAGACGTTTGCCAAAATATTTGCATGGGATAACATGACTCCTTTCGGTTGGCCAGTTGTCCCTGACGTGTAGCAGACAGTCGCCAAATCCGATGGAGCAGGCGGCTGCAAAAGAAGAAGAGGGAGGATTTGAAAAAAGTTTGGATCTCCATCATGAAGGCTATCAATTATTACTCATTGCACACCATAAAATGCAATTCTCGTGAAATTAGAAATAGACAATTAAAAATCCATCATGTACCTGGGGAGGTAGTGATTTGGCTGCGCCAATGTTCTCCACTTCCTCGAATGTAAGTATTCTGATATTTTGTTGCTTTGCACGTTGTAGAGCGGAGTTCGGGGTATCTTTGATTACCACGATGTTCTTGATTCTATGGCCACCTTTGTTCAGCAGGAAATGCAGCTTTGCTTCCGAATCCGTGATGACTGTTGTCAAATCCGCTACTCAGAGGGAAAAAAAGAATACAGTTTCAATCAACGCAGAAAAATACACGGCAGAATCACGTCATCGCTATGAAAATAGCTGAAATGGCACTTCAAAACATCTCAATTTTTTAATGCTAGAAATGTGAATTGATTCTGAATCCAAACCAAACCCCAATTAAATCTGATCAAACCTTCACTATTCACGCATATTGACAAAAATTGAATTAAATTGTAATCTATCAAGATTAAACAGAACTAGACAATTAAAATTTAGAAAACATCTACGCAATAGAGATTAAAATCATGGATTAGCTGCATTCAAGATAGGAAATCAAAAAAAGGACATTTGCTGCATCATTTCTGGTCACTTAACAATTGAATTTGCCAACATTTAGCAGAAAATTCAACATCTGGAGTGAAAATGCGGTAAACTTTGAAATGATAAAAAAATCAGAAGTGCACACACTCCTGGTAAATAGCAGCAGTCCAACGCTTGAAATTTGGGTATCAAAGTGATGAATTTTCAGACGTGAAAATCCCAATATGTATCATAAAAAATGGAATCATATCTGTAACGCACTGCCCAGCAATCAATTGTCTCACCTTGGTCCATGACAAAAATGCAAGCATCCTCTCCCAAGGTATCGTACAGTGGAACAAGGACCATGGAAAAGTGATAAAGGGCCTGTTCAGCCAAAACCCACTCAGGGCAGTTCTTGGCATAGATGCCAACCCTGGTCTGCTGACCAGGTTGGCATCCAATGGCAACTAGACCTGAGCCAAAATTGTGCGCTCGTAAGAGTGCTGTATTGTACGTCAGCCATTGGTAGGGCTGATGAGAACCTTCTCTCCAGCCCAAGCACGGTCCATCATCTGAAACAAGTTGCAAATAAGCAAATAATCCATCAGAAATTTAAAAATTAAAAATACGCAATAAACATAATTAGTAAAATGCTCCAAGCAAGTCCAGTTCGTCTTTCATCATCTATGAAAAAAATTGCCATTTGCGGCCTAAACATGAATGATATTTTGGATAACCAAGAAGTTTGTATCCCGCGACTTTTGGAATACAATTTCTGAAGTCGACTGAATACCGAAGTTGAATTTTACTTTTAATTTTCCAGATTAAGAAAACAGTATTCGTTTGCACGTCCGGGAAGTGAAGACTTTTTTTTGCATATGTGCTCGTCACAGATGCCTGCTCCGAGAACAACGGCGATTTTCCGACAGGAATTCCAGTAGCGTTACGCTTCAAGGAATTTAGCGCAGTGAGACAAACGAGCAGGTTAAAAATTGCGGATTATTTCTGTTCCAGGGGAAGGTATGACTCAATTCATTCATCCCTTCTCCGCAAAATGGAATACTCTACATTACGAAGAAAATCGGCGAAGGAAACATTATAACAGAAAGGGTTTAAAAGGTCGAGGGTTCAAGTCGTCGATAGATGTAGTCATCGCAAAAACTCGCGCTGAGTGTCAGTCAGCACAACCCGAATGCTAATGAGAGCGGAGAAAGCGGGAGGGATTGATAAATGCCAAAAGCCGATCAAGCGGTGCAACGTCGTTTCGGACGCGCAAAAACCAACAAATTGGACCCGCGCCAGAACGAAGAACCGCATTCTTTCGTTCCCACCCCCGTCGCTCGGGTTTTGAAGCAGCACTCACGGGTTCATTAATGAACACGAAGCATGCCCAGAAGAACGCGTACGCAATACGTCACGCTTCACACACGCCCACGTCAATCCTCAGCTCAACATAATGTACATCAATACTGTATTCAACAACAAAAATTTACACGCAGCAATGTAGAGGAAAATTTTGGGATGAGACCCTAAGAAAAAGACCAGATAATTCAGACGTAGCGAAGGAACGATATAGAGTTATAGAGGTTCTCAACAAGGAAATTCTCTTTCCGGCGATTTTCCCCCTGAATTTCGTTGCAGAGGAAGACCACACGTATACGCTTACACTGATGCAGGTAGACTGTCTCTACAACACATTTTTCAGTCTCGTAGGGATTTTTACACATTCTATAGAGTTCCTCTTCTCTCTACAACGCAATTGTATTTACTATACAACGAAATTCTTTCTAGAACGATTCATTTCAGGTCCCCTGAATTTATTTTGAAGGGAGTCCGCCTGTAATTCCACCTCACTCAAATCAGAAAAAAACTTCTCCCAATTATCCTTCAATTAAAATGAAGTTTGCGAATAAAATTATAACTAGAATGCTACTTTAAAAATAAAAATAAATCAATATAAACAGACTCTACCAAGATTTTGTCGACAATTTTCTCTTTCTACAGGATTTTTTGGTCCCACGAATCGTTCTCTTCTCATTGAACAATTGAGATAGAAAGGTTATACAGTACTATCTTTGATTGTATACTTCATCACTAATTCGAACAGTTGCTCGTTTTGGATCACCCCATAATCGAGCATTTTCCAAGTAAATTCAAGATGTTATCGATTATGATACGCACTCCAATTTGTAGAGCCAAAATTTTACTAAGCCAGTTTGAGTTTCACACATACCTTACGCAAATTCGGCTTTGAAAACGTGGCACGAGAATTGTCTCCATCTTCCGTTCATTTCTCGGCGATGATTATAACGTACTGTATACTTTACATGCGTTATCGTGTTTCTCCACGACACGAACGTTCCACGAAGCCTTTCTTCGTCATTGCAAAACTTCGTAAATTAGTTTCTATACAGTAAAGTACTGTACTGTTCTTGAATAGTGCGACGGACATAAATCTACTGAAAAAGTGGTTCAAGTTTCGGTTATAGATTGAAAAAATCGAAAAAAAAAAGGTTTTTTCCTTCTTGCACGCGGAGTACATGACTACAAGAAACAAGTAAACACTTTTTTCGACGTGAAGGTGCAATAGAAAAAAGATAAATATTAATGATACAACGAAGGCGAGAACATTCACATACGACACACAGACAAGAGCTACAGTCGTAACACAAGCGTGGCTCTTCCCCGGGTCGCGTTGCTTGCGTGAGTTCTCTCAACCCGGGCGACTTTGGATTACAGCCAAGCAATTCCAAACCCACACCTTCATGATCCGTGAAACGAAATTCGAGACCTCCACGAAAAAGAAAAATACCGATACACGACCCCACGCGAAAATACTCAATCAATATTCAGAACTCGAGTCACCGAGAATTACTCAAGCGCTGCGGTTCCATGGGGTCGGCTTCAGTCGACGGTGGAACAAACAGAACCAACTAAACGAGCTCCGAAGAAAGTCGGGTTACAACAGTTTCTTTTGTGAAGTGAATCATAACGCAGACGAATCACTTTCAACATGAAAATGAAACTAACGAAGGATCCCAAGAAGTTCCAGCAACACAGCTTTTCAGGCTTGAAGGAAAATTTAGGACTTTTTACCACATCAGAACAATGACGGTTTTCAAGAAAAGTTACGGATGCTGTTTCAACTACTTCACGATGTTTCTTGTTCGTGATCTTCTACACGATTCTAGACATGGCATAATGAATGCTCTACAAACACAAAAAAACGAATCTGCTATAATGAAAACTGAAAAATAAAACTGCATCACATAACAAGTCCTTTAGACGTAGACTAATATGAATTTGTACAAGTCCATTCAAATCAAACTTAATTGATAAAATCGGGTGAAGGAATAATAAAAAATGTACTGAATTGTTCATGAATTTGTGCGGATCTTGACTACAGAACTCAAAATAATCGCAACAATTGCTGTAATAAAATAATACAGTATTGTATATTAAACATTCTTTCACAGAAGCATTCAAAACGGGGGTTGCAAGAAACAGAACAGGGTTTTTCATATACAGTAATTGAGGTCGGAAGTTAGGTTATCGTGAACTGAAAAAGTTGAGCAAGTCAGGCTCGGTCGGATTTTGCACTCATCATATTGCGTCACGCATAAAAAATTTTCCGCAAAATGTAATTCATTCGCTGTGATAATCGAAGGAACTCACTAGAGATCTTGCAGCCACGTCGAAAACATTCGTAGATTGTTTTGGCGTCTTCATACATGAAGTTGAGGAATTTCCCGTCTTTAGCTTCCTTGTTCAGCTTCGAGTACCGAATCATCTCCGGTCCCTGCATAAACCAATGTCGAATATTTTGCCATTAAAACGACAAAAAATGCATTCATCGGAGTTTATATAATCCGGTTCAAACCTCCCGCTATTTCGAGACGAAGACAAAAATAAACATTCCGCAGACAACCAGATGACAAGGCGTCTTTTTAATACTTCTCGACGCAAAAAAAAAAAAGTGAAGGAATAAGGGCGAACAGCTTCAGACACTCCATTCATGCGGAAGCAAGATGAATAATGCGGGTCCATCACTGATGAAACGCATGATTGCTTAGAAGTGTCTCACCCAGAAAACTCATCAGTCATCTTCAAAGATGAAAAAAAAAACAGCATCGAACCCAACACGGAAAAATCTGACGAATATGAAAATTGCTTACTGATGTGGCATGAGCATCAGATTATATGCATATAAAATAATTTTTATTCCGACAGCTCGGAAAATTGTTCACGAGGCTCACATTTACGATAATGTACTACCGAGCTAAGTATTTCAACAACCTGATTTTCCTTTATTCTGAAATGCGTAGAAAAGATAAAACGTTCATCACAACGAACGAAAAAAATGTTATGTGCCCAAAACTGTTGACAGATCTTCCCCCAAGCTGTTCTTTCATTTTCTTAATTTATGTATAGAAACCTAAAGCAGAAACAAATAACATTGACCTGTCTTCACAGGATGAAATACTGTTCTGTAAATAAATCAGCATATATACTATTCCGAAAATAAGGCAATACTTCGAGTTGAATCTCCCATCGGGTGGAAAAAAAATTTCTTGGCACTTTTTCCAGCCTCACAAGTACTTCGAACGAACAATCTTATTGAAACGCTGTTTCACATTATGCTTTACAATAATGAAGACAGAAATTTTCAGAAGGGAGAAACACGAAAATCTCTTGTTTTACGCAGACGATCAGACGCTACAAGACGTTTCGAGCAATCCAACATTTAATTATAATCACACGAAATAAAAACACACTGAGATAACATAAATTCAATCATTTGAAGAAAACTGCGTACGAGAACTATAGTATAGTCTAACATTTTATGTTTTTCATGCTTCTACGCGTTTCTAAATTTCAAAAATGGAAGTGCAGATTCCCAACTGAATGCATTGAATTTCTCCTTGTTCACAAAAATGTGCTAAAAAAAACCAATTTTCTAAACAGAATTTAGTCTCTAACTAGATTAAGAATTAGTTTAATTCTTCGCTGTGTCATTAGAGAGCCTTACCCCAGAAATGCGGGGAATAGTTCACGTTGTCCGGTTTTTTTTTATGTATCCTTTCAAGGCGTTATGAAGCAGAATGATGAAATACTCAATTACTTGGCGGGAAAGCATTTAGTTTCTCTCGATTTCTCGGGAAACGAAGGTCCACCTAACCAGTTAAAAACAATGGGTGAAAAATGCGCGTCATACTTCCAATACTAGACAGTGGTTCGGGAATCCGGGGACAAACGCAAGTTGAGAAATAGCACGTTAAAAAACCGTTAGCTCTGCGCCCGAAAAAAAGTCAAAAATATCTCGTCAACCATTCTTTCCTCTCACTCGAAGTTGTCGACTCCGTTCGGAAAAATTACGACCCCCCATGACTCATGACGTTCGCACACACCCTCCGAAAAAGAAAATCTCGACAAGACACATTCGTCCGTATGTTCCTTCAACGAGAAGTTTTTTATAGCGTTGCCCTGGCATCTGCACGTAAATTTTAGGTGGTGAGTTTTTTCGTGACACCTAGCCAACGGAAACATTTCAGAGATCTGTTCAAAAAACATGATTGCGCAAAAACAATATCGACATACAGTATAATAAATAACTACCTTTTTCGTCCGGAAATATGGCATGGTTGAAAACAAGCTCAAGCGCAATGTACAGGTCCCAATAATAGAACTTGGTCGAGATGACCTCGCTCAATTACTGTACAACTGGTTGAATTTTTCAAATTTCGAAAATAAAATGTACGTCTCACGTTCAGCACATCAGTCATTATTCTCAGGGTAAACGATTTCAGTACTGTATTTCAATGCGGTAAAATCCTTCATTTCAGAATATTCTCATAACAGGTTTGAACAAAAACCTTGTCAAATCTTGAAACTGCGAATTTTCAAACTTCTTCGGGTCATGAAAAGTTGAATTTTTTCTCAAGGAAAGAATTAAACCCCTTAAAATCCCGAATTTTGTAAATTGGACTAGTTACAGTATTTGTTTCGTTTATCTGTCATTATATCGCAAAAGTGCACATTCCGATATTCATCATCCGTGATTTCATGACGAACTACTGTATATTCTAAATAGATCCGAAGAATGTACGTAAGAAATGTCTTTTTTTCTCGAAAATACACATCTAGGGTCAATATCTTCCATAATAGGTCACGAATTCGTTCATTTGATCTTGCTTTCTATAAAGTCGTTCTTGAATCAAATCCAGTTCTACGTTTTTCTTAGGCTTGATCACATTTTTTTCAGTTCCTAAACTAACCGAAAGAGGGTAAAAGAAAAAGAAACGCTTTCAGAGAAGAAAATCACATGCCAATTAAATTATTTACGCTAGAGGCGAGCTGAAGCGCGACGCATTTCCCTTTTATTTTGAGAAGTAAAATACTGCAACCCAGCCAGCCGAGGATTTTGGGGATGGGAGGGGGTCAAGTTACATGGTGCAAATATTTTTTTACAGACCGGTGAGGGGTGAAAAAGTTAGGACCACACGTAAGAAACTCAAAAGGCACGACGGCAATATCGGCAAGATTCCCTTAAACTCACCTTTATCAGTTCTGCTTGGTTATCAAGCGGGATCGGAGCCTTAAAAGGCTCGACTTGACCAAAGCAGTCACACAGCACCATTATGACAACAGGGCGCTTCTCACAGTGAAAAAAAAATATTTATCTCGATCGACTGGCTCAGCCCCACTCAACACTCCGCACACATACTAACGCCATTGCGAACGATGTCGGCACGTATTAAGGAAGCGCAGACGTTTTAACATCGCGACAGCAAGCGGTACCGTCTATATTTGTGACTGTCACACACAAATTCGTCAGACACGTTACAAAATACCTATTTTTCACCGAGTATCCATAAAACCCGGTCCCGGTGCAATGAGAATCACTTGGGCGTCAATCAAGGAAAAGTCACGCGTTTCATTCAGTGCAGAACTGCGTTTAAAAATATTAGGATGCGCCGAATCGAGCCAACGATGAGTAAGGATCAAGAATTCCTTCCCATACGAGAAATGACGTTTCAGCACTCGAAAGATAAGTCATAAGACGGAGGCGCGAAGCGTTAAAGACCACAAGTTGCTGAAGCACAAGTTGAGGGGAAACTGAGAGCTACCTGTGCCAAATTTTCCGCTAAGAATGCCGCTTGGGTTCAGAGACAGAGAAAAGAAAAGAGCACACAAGGAACTGCCAACACTGTGGGGAGCGAATAGAATATGTATGTTTATCTTTTCAGGACACGTGTTTTGCAGAAGTCCGTCCATGTAGTTTAGACGGCTTCAACTCTTTTAGCTCACCCGGTAGGTACTCCGAATTTCTGGCAACTTCTGAATACATGTTCAGCTAAAAGGCAGGTCAGGCTCAACGGTAGACCATTCGAGAGAATTTTGCAATTGGTACAATCGAAAAGGCGATTTGAAAGCAAAACACTTCCCAAGAAAAAAGGTCAAGCCAAAATCGCCGATATCACCTTATTTCAATAATCAGCCGCCTAATTAAAAATTTGAATTTAGCATAAGAGGGTAATTATTCATGCACTAACGGAAGTCATTAGTATGTCGTATCTTAAGGTTATGAATAATTATGAGTGTTTCTGATATTCATGAATTTGATTCATAACTATTTCACGGCAATTATATAAGACATGGAGTTTAGCAATCACGCACTTTTCGAGGAATCAATATCAGACCCGTTTCAATTTCGAAAAAAAAGCGAGATATGCCAAAATATATTCTAGCCTGAATAATTCTAGGACAGTATTTTTCTTTCCACTCCGTAAATCAAAATTAAATGATAAATTAATAAAACTGATCGTCAATTATTTTGAAATGGACAGGAAAACCAAAAATTGTCTAGAAAATACTGTATTTGTCGTTTCGTGCCCGCCGAAAAGCCGATCCTTCCTCAAATAGAATCCAACAAAATAACGATCTAGCCCAAAAAGGACAAATGAACGCCGAAAAGCTAAATAAACACAAAATTCAAGCACAAAAATTAATGCGAACATATTTATGTAATGAACTATGCCGCTCCGCAATAACCGACTCTCAAAAAAACGGAGTCCTCCGAAATGTGAAGCAAGTGAAACTAGGGTATGCTCGAACAACCCTCAGCGGTAGGTACGCAAAAATAACCGAGACTCTCACAAAAACATTACGTTGGGAACCCCGCGAACCAATGACATCTCACACCGTGCTAGAGTAGGACGGATTCAGACGAATAACAAAAACGTTTTGTTAGTACTGAGCGTCACTAGCGTGACTACACGCGCTTACAGCTTCGCCCATGACCTGCATCCTACAGAGTAAATTGACCTGATAAAACTTGGCTCAGAAGTTATATTAACATTTAAAGCATTTAAATACTGAACACGTGCATTCTACCATTAAAAATCCTGCCAAAATTTTGTGCCAGAATCGCGCTATTCCACTTGAAAGCACAAAACTGAGGAAAAATAGAAGCATCGCGCATTCTAGCTGTGAACGCTCAAAGGCGCAGATCTAAGACAGTTGCACAGAAAACATAATTTCAGTTCGTACACCTTCAAAACCACTCTATAGTCAATGTGGAAGCACTTGCGAAGATTCCCGGGATCCTTGATGTAAAAATATACCTTCGACACTCTTTTACAATGTTTCTTAATCAAAACAGAGAAATATCCAACTGAAATTGAAAGCTAAGCTTGAAACAGAGAAAAAACATTCGTAATACTCACGGAATAGAAAAAGCCGCTTTGTTCGTGACCCGGTACACACATAGGGATTCTCTTGCCAGGCTTGAAAATTTGGTACGTGACATAGAGAACCGCTCCTGCAGTCGCAACCATGAGAAGACCAGATGCGCTTGAGGAAATCCAGTCAAACAATTGCAGAAATACGCTTTCATCTTTGACGCTCGACATGATGAAAAGATACTGTTGTGACTCCTGCAAGAACAAAGTCAACGTGAGCTCGGGCACAGACTCAAACGCGAAAGTTCACGTATCACATGCCTTGGCGGAAGCGGAAGATTACTGCAGGTGAGGTAGACTGATCCTCAATGAATGCATGAGATCGATGACGAGATCAGAGGTCAACCGTTTAATCTAGTACCGGCTTCCACCCGATGAAGAGGCACGATAGATAAGAGCAGAACACGATAATTTTCAATAGGTTAGTAAGGATTCCACACACACACTGCGACAAGAAAGGAATGTTAATAAAACACTCCAATCAAAGGTAAACACGAAACAGTAGTGGACAATGCACAGCGTATCCAGAAGTTAAGCTTCAATCCAAGTGACTGACATTCCTCGTCCTGTGAACTTTGCCGGCAGAGATGTTTCTAACCGAGCTGACGTCAACGATCCTGTCCCCCATCTCAGCTGTGGAACAGGGCGACTCCGCGATGGATGGTGGCACGATAGGAGGTTAGGGGCGGTACGAGCTGGTAGTGGGGTGTTAAGAGGACGTGTACGGGACATCGGAGCGGTCGCTTGGGGGCTTCGTGAACACGCCGCGTTTTGTTTGTGATCCTACATAAGAACCTCACTACCCTTCCTATGGTCGCCGCCATGTGTATCACTACCTTCATCTATCCATCAAACATTGTCTTACTCTCGCTTCTCTCTATGTATGACATCTATGAATGTTGCAAATAATCATATATATATATATATATATACAGTCCTTACTAGCGCAAACCCTATATATGGGGTTTGCGCTAGTAAAGACTGTATGTATGGGGTTTGCGCTAGTAAAGACTGTATATATATATAAATATATATATATATATATATATGGGGTTTGCGCTAGTAAAGACTGTTGCATTTTCCCTTATGAACTATATGTACTGCACCAGGAATAATTTTAATCGGTTCCAGAGCCTTGAAAGTGCCCATAAAACTTGAGAATTTTGTCCAAAGCATTCTTATGACTATACTGTACCTATCAAAACGCAAGATATTTTCTCTTAAAAGGTACAGTATTTAGTACAATATAGTGTAAGACAAACGCACTCAAGCAAGAAGCAGCCCAATTTTTCACGAATTTTTCATTCTGCCAACATTAAACTGCAGGATTTGAGTCATAAAGCAATGAACCACTGAAGAAACTAAGGTGATGCACAAATTTGTCCTTTGCAATGGATTGTGAGAAAAATTAAAGAAATTGTATGTCAACACCTTATGCTGTCATATATTGATGGCAGCGCCCTCCAAAATTTTGTACTTTTTCTTTATTACCAGGAAGCCAATTCACCATGAAGGTTCAAAATAGTCACCAAATACTGTATGAGGAACATAAGACAAACAAAATTTCAATTTTTGAATCTCAAGAAAAATGTTCAGTCTGCTGCTTTGCATAATGAATGCTGATCCAGCAAAAATGAAGGTGTAGGAGCACGGTTTCATGAAGACCATGCCAACGTTGTCGACCTGCAGCGTCAAATCCCTCGTGAGCTATATAGTGGACTTCTCGCCGGATGATCAGCAGTATTGATGACTTTAAATGCTCAAGTACCCCAGTTAAGTGTACCATATCGTCCAGGCACCGTTCCCCACACTCATCAGTGCCTGAGATTTCTGACCTATATGTCATTAAGCCCACAAGTACATTGTTACGGCGAGTTCCTACACCACCATTACACCCTTGCTGAAGACTTTAAAAACTCAGTGGCGAGAGGGAGCCACATCAGATGTTAATTGTGAGGAACATGGCGACTATTAGGAATTCCTCCAGCCCATACATGCAGCACTTGTCATCATTCAGAATTAGTCATTCACGAATTGCCTATATGAATGGAATCCCTCATCTTCTTCCTCCTCCTGGTCTCCAAGCAGACTCAGCAGGCCCTTATTGGAGAGCCAGAAAAAAACGCAGGAAATATAGCTGCTGTTGTTCCTCGTCGTCTTAAATTGGTGCACATATAAGTGAGTTTGGTGGACCGTTCAGAATTCATTTTTAATTATGTCTTCATTCAGTCATTTTTTTTCCGAACTTCAGTGTGGATGCTGCATGGTTATACATTTCCTGCTGTGAATGGGTTTGCAATTTTATTCATTCCTTCTGTTTGAATGCCATGGAAAAAAATTACTTTTACTTGAGCTTCCATCTACAGTAGCTAGATTTAACATCGATTTAATTTGTAGACATGCGCTGATCAATGTACGTGTTATTTGTGTGCTAGATCTTGATTACCAGTGCATCCGAATATGTTCGTCATTTGTTAAAACTTTCATAAGGTTGTCCTACTATCGCTTTTATTTTATGCAGAAGGGAGTCATGAAGGACACCCATTGAGAGCAGTGTTCTGCGTTCTTCTTAGTCATCAAGCTTTACTATTTCGTGCATGATTGATAAATCTTGAATCTCTGACCTCAAGCTTTTGTCAGGAACTTCGTTGTGCTTTACAAGTGGTCACTTATTTACGGTTTCCAGCGGTGTGGAAGTACAGTATTGTTGATCAGATACGCTGTGTTGTGTAAATTCTGTGGATGATATGGCGCACAAGTACACATCACGTCGCGCTGACAAGCAGACATCGGTACTGCAAATGGGTTCCAATGTCTCTGCGAATCAAGCTGTTCATGTGAACGATAATACAAAGTATTCACGATCAGAAAATCCTGTGGACCTTCTTGACTTGGAGAATTTGTCCCTCCGTGAGCGGGGTGGGGCACAGGCCAGTTTTTCGGTAAATGCTGCTGCGGCAGGGTGTTTGAAGACGAGGACGGTGTTTGCAGCCACGATTATCGAATGCAAGAACGTGTTCGGTCATATTTTGCCTGACACGATTGCTGATAGATTCATGCACTTCGGACAGGTATGCAGTTTTCAGCCACTCTCTTTTCTCCCTTGACTGTTCGCTGCATGAAAATTATGTATAGGTCCTTGAAGTGGAATGTGATGAACTGTACAAACCTACTAAGCTGTACTCAAACGATCCTTACTTGAACGTGGACGAGACAGTTTCTGAGCAGGAATTACTCAAGTATTGCTCCAGCCAGCTTCTGAGAAACGTTTACGTGCGATTTGCCTCTGTTGGAGCTGCAGTCTCTGCAGTCGACACATTAGCTCGCATTGGATGCCACACGCGTCGCCTTCTAGATCCCCGTGAGATGGATAGTTTTTCTGTTTACTTGTGCAACTTACCCAAGATGATGACAAAAGAGCAACTTGCTGACATGGTATCCGCTGTCGGCGAAGTGTTGCTCTCTTGGATAGTTGGGCAGAACAGTTCAGGTGATGCAAATGTGACCAATAAGGAGTGTAGCTGCGGCTTTGTGCGGATGCGTAAAGCTGCTGATTGTGTGACTGCCGTTCGACATTTCCACGGGATGCGACTTCCTGGTTCACCATTCCCACTGGTTGTTCGACTTGGACACAAAAGGAAGTGAGTATAAGCGCGTGATAAAAATCATATCACTCTTTGACCGATGACTGAGTCGCATGATATGGTCTATCTCCCATATCATGCGAGATAGTCGCATGATATGGAGAATCTATGAATGATTCTCCTGCTGTATGCTGCGTACGTATTAATTTGCTTCAAAGCTCATCATGGTGAACAGCGGGTGCTGATGATTCATTCCCTCGTATTATTCCATCTGTACGCAGGTTTGTGAATCGTCCCACGAGGTTTTCGTGCACTCACCGCCCAGCTGTCATTACTTATGGGAAGGTTGTTCGTCAGTTGAATCCCCTGTGGGATGCCATCTTCTTCTTTCCTCCAGATATATCCTTGAAAAAAGATGAAAAGCCCTGCTTCACTACTCAACCGAAGTCAGGTAAACTCGATTGTTATTATATTTGATTTAATGGGTTGAATATGGTATTTATCCCGTTGTACCGCTTGAAATTTGTCCAGGTGGGAATCAGCGTTACGTAATGCTGCCTACAAATGCAATGATAAGGTTCAATCATCAGTTGCTTGGATCCTGCTGTTCGTACATTCAGTATGCGTCATCGTCCGATTTGAACAAGGACAGTAGCATGTTGCAAGGAGAGAAATCTGGCAAGGAAACTCGAGGAACTTCTGCAAACTCTCCCTACGTCTCTAATCCGTTTTATGGGATGACATTCCTGGAAGAAAGTACGCATATTAGCCCTTACCCTAACCCATGGAATGAGCCCATGCCATTCCCGACACAGACTGAAGATGATTTGCCAAACCCTGCGCCCAACTACGAGTGCGTCACATTTGGTGAACGGTTCAGTTTTCGTAATTGAACGTGATGGAGTTTAATGTGATTCTGTCCGAAATGGAGCGCTGTGAAATTATGTGGTTGAATTGACTCTGGCAATCATCTTTTGTGGGATCTTTTGTTTCTTTCGAATCCGTTGAAAATCGATGCGTGATAATTAAGATGTATATTTTGCATCTCCTCTTCCGTATACAGTATTCCCTCGAGTTGTGATGTTTTGAAACAGGACTTCAGATACAATCATCTTTCGTGGGATCTTTTTGTTGCTTATTTTGAATTTGTTGAAAATTGAGCGTGATAATTAAGATGGATATTTTGCATCTCCTCTTCCACATATTTCCACGAGTTGTGGGGTTTTGGAACAGCGGACTTCGGGTGATGGATACCAGTTTGGTGATTTTCTCGTGCGTAATCTAAAAGTAAATGAAATGTTGAATGGACAGGAACAATTTGTTTCCGACTTCGGACGCTGATTTTGGGATTATGCTGAATTTTTCTCACTGAAATGACTACAATTTTGCTGTTCGACCTCACCTTTGTAACAAAGGAAATTAATTACTTATACTGTAATTTCCAAGTTGACAAGTATTCTAATCAGAATATAAAATTTCTGTTTCAGCGCACAAAATTTTGCTCGTTCAACAATTTCAACAGCAGTAATCTTTTTTTTGTGTGTAAATTTCTGCAAGAAAATGCGCAGTGAAATTCTGATTTTTTTTGCTTGAGTAGAAAAGGTACACTGTAATTTGTTTCACAGTAGTCACATTAAGAAAGTGAAATCTATTTTCCTTATTTCTCCCACAATTTTTCAATAAGTTCAACTTTATATAACTTGCCGAACTTACAAGTACTGCACTCTGTAGTGTAGACAAACCTTTTTTGGAAATTTCCCCGAAAATGTTATATCTTGAAATGAGGATGCTTTGTTCAAGAAACAAAAAAGCGAAAAGAATTTAAAATTTCGAAGTTTCGAAATACTTCAAACTGAATCAGCGCTTTTCATTAAAGCTCATCCTAACTCTCCATAATTTATTCACTCACTTTTAAAATGTCTTACAGGTTTGCGTATGTGCGTCATTGATGTGCTTTGGATTTAAATAATTTTGTTAATGCAAAATTTTAAAAAGTTGTTACGCAAGATAAAGAATTGAAACTCTCTTACTTTTTATCTCAGGTTTTGAAATGTTTTGCTGTGTCATTTTTACTCTAACGTAACTTAATGCCCAGGTTTCTCATAAGAACTACTCTACAGTAGAGCATTCTAAAAGTACAGTACTGCAATGTAAAAGGAGCATCAGTCCACAGAATAAGCTGGTCCACTCTGGACTTGCTCACTCTCCTGACCGCATACCCGACTATGTAAAAGGGATGGTGTCGAGGTCAATGACACACCTGAGCCTGTGGACGCTAACGGTAGCCTTGTTTCGAGGATTTTGGTTGTTTACGCAGTCAGCTTGAAGAGCTGGCCAGCGAAGTGCAATGGGATGTTGTGCGTTGAGAACACCGCTTCTCTTCACGGGGTTGCCGAGCTCTGTGCGATGATTACGCGAACGCCACGTGTCGCTGTGATAAACTTTCGTTTCTGAATGTGTGGGTAATACGTAGTTGAGAAACGCTGAACATTTTAGAAAGACTGTGAAAGGAATCTAGAAATGCTTGCAGTGTTCCGTGTCAAGGTGTGCGGGGAGTTACTTACGTTCTTTTTCGATTGTGAGATTTGGCGTTGGTTGTTCATACAATTCGTTCGTCTTTTAAGGAAATTGGTGTTGGGGCTGAACGCCTTAGAACATTTCCGCTTGAAATTCGCTTCTCGAATAAGTATTGGAAATGGCTCCTAAACAACGCATGCGAATTGCCAATGAGAAGGCCCAGAAAAATGTTGTCATGCGCGGGCAAGTTCCCAAAACGCTGGTGAGTTACTTGAATTCAGGTTGTCTGTCGTGCTTGTAGTTACCTCAGTTGATATTGCTGTCGGTAGAAAAATCAAGAGGACAAGTATCCAGTGGATCCATGGTTGCTCGGGTTGTTCATCTTTGTGGTTTGCGGCTCCGGTAAGAATTTTTTTGATTCTCCGACGAAGATCTTTACAATTTCATCGATGAGAATCGTTTACAGCGGTTTTCTCGATCATCCAATCAATTCGCATGGCCTGAACGCAGAAATCCGACCGAACTTGTCGCCCTCCCCGTTACCGCTGTGGATACATTGAGCAACTATGACTCAAAGATATATATTAAAGCAGATTATCGGTTTGCGTCATTCCTCCAGATTTTAAAACTACTGTTGTCTTTGTTCTCTGAGTTGCGAAATATATTTTGGTGTGACACGGATGCAACCGGTTTTCCGAGTTTCATTTTCGTATGTTCTGTGCATTCTCGTTCTTTGAATTTTGAACTGCTCACTTGAAAGTCCTCTTGTGTCTGTTAGGGTCTGTGACTCGGGGTGATGATCCCTGGCGGTCGTCGAAAGTGCCGCTGGATCGCGCTCGTGTGTGCAGTTGTCTTGATATGTCTCCTTGGTTACAGGTCACAAGTGTCAGTAGATTTAGGTAATTCAAAAGTGAGTGATTCGAAGGTCTAGAATTCTGTTTGAATCTGATCCCTAATAACTGGCTCGTTATCTTCGTAGTTCAATGAAGCTTTGAGATTAAAATCTCAGTCTTCAACCCTTGCGAGCTGGCAATACTTCAATGAAAAGAAGTACGTGTTCAAGCATGGTATTTTACCCGGGGATGACGTGTATGCAAAGAACAAATTCAATCAGAGGGAGAGTGATAGACTTACGAGCGATCGACCGATCCCGGATACTAGGAACGCGAAGTATATTTTCTGTTGCCCTTGTTTTTATAATGTAATTTTGAACCCACGTGATTCGCATGTAATTTCGATTCAGATGCCGAAATCGAAATTGGATGGATGTGGAAGATCTGCCAGCGACGTCTGTAATAATCACTTTTCACAATGAAGCTCGTTCGACTTTGTTGAGAACGATTGTGAGGTACCCGAAGCTGGTTATTGTTTGTGGCAGACATATGAATCTCTTCGTATTCCAGTGTGCTCAATCGAAGTCCAGCTCATCTCATCAAGGAAATCATCCTAGTTGATGACTTCAGTGATGATCGTAGGTTTTTTCTCCCGTCTAACTTGTTGAAAAAAGAAAAAGAAAAAACTTAACAGTCTTGATTTATTTTGCAGCTTCAGACGGTGAAGAATTGGCTATCTTGCAGAAAGTTCGAATATTGAGGAACTCCAAAAGAGAAGGTTTGTTAACCAACGTACCCGTGGTACGTACGATTACATTAATCATTTTGTTTTTGTAGGACTGATGAGATCAAGAGTTTTTGGTGCTGATATTGCGACTGCCGAAGTTCTGACGTTCCTTGATAGCCATTGTGAATGTAATGTCAACTGGTTAGAGCCCTTGTTGGAACGTGTGAAGGAGGTCAGTTATTCTAACCGGGTGCCAATCTCGATTTATTTTCATTCATTGATGCTTTCGAAGACGGTGCATGAAAATTTCAACTGGTCGTTTCTTTCTACTGTATATCAATTTTCTCCATGTTCAGAATTTTTCTCAGACTCTTAAGTACCTTGCGTTGTTTGAAAACGGCTCATTCAAAACAGCATTCTCTATGAGCTTACATTGTAAATGTAATTGACGTTCCGTGTGATACAGGATTTCTTAATTTGATGAACTCTGTGGCGAATATGTTATTGTCAAAAGCTGCGCATGTGATATGAACCCCGAGCACCTTGCACGTGTTGTCTTTGTGGAGGATTCGAATTTAGTGTTTTCCCATCGTTGAGTTCTGAGGAGGACCATATTGTTTCAGTGTTTTGATTTCGTCTTTTGTCAGCTTTTTTGGAACCGGACAGTATATTGTGAAATTTTTGCTCTTCGTGTTAATATGACATGTCTATGATGTTTTGAATTTTTTCTTTCGCTCAAGGATCCAACGCGAGTTGTAAGCCCTATTATCGATGTAATCAACCTCGACTCTTTTCAATACGTTGGAGCTTCGTCCGACCTCCGTGGTGGATTTGATTGGAATTTGGTTTTCAAATGGGAATTCATGCCCCCAGAGGAACAAAAGAAACGGGCTCACGATCCAACTTTACCAATTCGGTACGAACGAATCTCACTTCCATAATCCAAGGAAGTTGAGTGTGGTTGTTCAATTGGATTTTACTTGTGTAATTTTAGAACGCCGATGATAGCGGGTGGTCTTTTTGTGATGAATCGAGAGCAATTCAATCGCCTCGGAAAGTATGACGTTCTCATGGACGTTTGGGGAGGAGAAAATTTTGGTAAGAATGGAAAAATTGCTGAATAAGAAATTTAATTTATAAGTTCTGCATCTCGTGAGCGGGTCAATAATTTGAGAGCCTACTTTTTTCAGAACTGTCCTTTCGCGTCTGGCAGTGTGGCGGTTCATTGGAAATCATCCCCTGCAGCCGAGTTGGTCACGTTTTCAGAAAGCAGCACCCGTATTCATTCCCTGGTGGTAGTGGGCAAGTTTTCACCCGGAACACGAGAAGAGCTGCTGAAGTTTGGATGGATGATTACCGACAATATTATTATGCTGCAGTTCCTGTGGCGAAACATGTCCGTTTCGGGAAGTGAGTTTAAGAAAACCTCTTGGGCACGGATTCCGCTTACGGAAATTTCAAGTGATCAACTTGATAATTTTATTCTTGTCAGTATCCAAGAGCGATTGGCGTTGAGGCGTAGTTTGAATTGCAAGCCGTTTTCATGGTATATAGAAAACGTATACCCAGAATTGAAAGTGCCACAAAAATCGGATGCGGCTTTCGGGGCGTTACAGCAAGGCTCAAAGTGTCTGGACACGATGGGATTACCTCAAGGATCTCCGCTTCAAATGTATCCTTGTCATAACACGGGTGGAAATCAGGTTTGTAATCCGTGAGCCGCAAAATTTTACTAATTTTGTAAAATTAATGAAGCGTGATGTACTCGCTCTATTATGTGCCATTGTTTGTTTTTTAATTTATCTTGATATTTTTCCAGGACTTTTCAATGACGAAAGATGACATAATCAAGCACATGGATATGTGTTTAACATTGGCTTTAAGGGAGAAGCCGAATGTTTTCTTGATGCCTTGTAAAGACGACGAAAGTCAAGTGAGTTTACAGTATTTTGTTTCCGGATTTGTGGATAGAAATTGAAGAGTTCGTTAAATTATGAGGGGATTTTTCTACGTTCACTCGGAATGATAACTTCCATTAACACAGCTATTTTACACTTCAACTGGACAACATTGTTGAAGTTTTGTTTTTGACATGGTAAAACTTAACTAATGCAAACGTCATAGGTGTCGATGCAGTATGCGTTATGTTCAGTTTCGAGAACTGCTGTTTGTGGCACATAACTCTTCGTACTTTCCCGCGTAAAATGCTTGATGTTTTGTTGTTTCTGTCACGATATGTTTCAGCGGTGGACCCGAATGGAAGGCGGAACAGTAATTAAGCACGTATACCACGACTTGTGCTTGGATTCTTCTGATAGCAAGAATCGGGGCGTTTTTGCAATGCCGTGTCATATCGGCTACTTGGGCCAGCAGTGGCGATTCTCCTTGAATGAGCTGTAATGCGCAAAAGTGCATGATTGTCTTGCCGGCGCTCTGCAAAACTTGCCGATTCGTTATCCTGTTGGCTGCACCAATTGTGATATTTCATGCAATCACAAGTCATTTTCCTGTTCCTTTTCTGATTATTGACGCAGAGGAATTATTGGAATTTTATTCGTTCTCCGGAGACGGAGAACAAATTGTGATAGATCCCGAAGGAGAACATTTTCTTATGTTTCGAAATGCATTTGGTTTGACTGTTCTGCTCTTGCTGATGCTTCAAGTTTGTGATAATGCGTGTATCCTCGTCAAAGGTCTCCTAGTCATGTTTGGAATGGAAAGTTTGTAGAATTTCCCCTTTGTGCCAAATTTTGTGATCACTTGCATATTTCTTCTATTGTTGACGAACAGCTTGCCGAAACTGACAAAGCGTTGTCTTCAGTGCTCAGCTTCAGCTGGGTTATTCGACAACTTTTTCGTTATTACTACGTTGTACTACTAAAGGGAAATGGAGGTCAGCCTTGGAATTCATGTAATGGCCCTCCCTGTAAATAGTTATCCGAGTGTGCTTTGGTTACAGGTTGTTTTGATTTTTCCTCAACTTTGAAAATAACAAGATTTGCATGCATTCACGTGTTACGTCAATCCTTGCTTTATTTAATTCGGGAAGTTCGTAGCAGTTCTCGATGGGGAGCGTCGGAGAATATAATTATTTTTATTGCTACAATTTGTGGGAGCACATCATATGTTCGTGCGTCAGAGTGCTGTGATCTGACTTCCTTCATTGATTTTTAAATTTTCTTCGTGACCTTAGTACCTGATGTTCTCATTCTTGCGTTTTGGGGGTTTCAATTTTCTTGATGCTTGCTTTGTTCGTGGAAAAAAAAAATGCACGATCCTCTCAACCGAAGTTCCGTATTTCCAGTTCACTTGATCACTTTTGATATTCGGGAATCGGGAAAATTAATCCTTAGAATTTTTGAATGTTTCAGATGGTGTACTCGTCTCCCGTTGTTCGAAGCACGGAATGGAGTAGAAGTGTAATATGGACGTTATCGAAATCCAGTTCTGTCGAATTTTTTCTGAATTGCTCAAGTTGTTCGTGAATTCTTTTTCTCTCCAACCGAGATTCAGAAATCGTCGGCAGAAGTTTGTCTTACTCGCATCCGATTCAATACTGTATTGAAAAAATTGGTGCGCCTGGGATCACGTGCGTGAGTGCGTTGATAAATTTTGCTGTGCAGTAGTTCATTGCTCCACTTGCAGATTAGTCTTGGTGAGTTGATATGTATGTACTGTAGTTTTACGTGTTAAACTGCTCGTTCTTTGACTAATTTACCTTGTTCACTAAGATTGAACAGAAAAGTAAACTAGAAGCTTTTCCCCACCACTAAGGAAATTAAGCTCAATTGACGCCACTCGTATTCGTGAAAATGTTCTTTTTTGTTTCCAATTGTTTGCTGTGAAGACATTTTCCAATCATTATTTTGCGTTTTAGCAATGCTTCAAGTAAAGGGTCCCGATACTACTTACTGAGCAGAAATTGGCCGCAATTCAGGACAGTGAAGAAAATCGTCAGGAAAAAATCGATACATTTTGAAATGACCCGAAGTGGTTCCGACAGAGAATTTTGTATTCGTAGTAGTGTTTTCGAGAGACTCACCAACTTTTTGATCTACGCATGCTGTATGTGTGATTGAGGAGTTCTTCATGTTGAATAGTCGTTCAAGTTTCTTGGTGTCTTATTTAGTAAAAGGAATATCATATTCACTTCCTCATTTTTTTCAGAAACATAAATTTGATGAGTAGAGTACTTTCGGAAATCTACGTTGAGTAGCTGTGCAGAAATTGTCTCTCGAATTTTATCCTATTCGTATTTCTTCCCTATTACTGGGATTTCCTTCTCAGTTTCCCGAGTGATGGTCCGACTTCAATCTTCATGGAGTCGTCCATTGTTTGTGTTTCTGTCGATATTTCCGATTGGTCGAGTTGGTTTTGACACAGACGTCGAGATACTGGGACCAATTTTCGCAGTTTTGTCGAGACTTTTCCTGGTGGTGAGTATGAAAGTGGATTTCCAAAATGTTGTGAACGGCCGAAAGAACCCGTGCAGTAGTCCGCCGTATCTGATGAAAAAAAACATTCCAGCTTTAAATATTCCAGATGGCAGTGCATGATATTGGAAAGAATCTATTCCCTCATCATGTTCTGATGATTTTCCTATTTCGCTAGGAATTGAACAACCATGAGAGCGTCTAAATGACCACGTCGCAGATCTGAAAACAATGTTTCAAAGAAACACATTTTTGCTGGTCATCTGTTTTCTGAGAGAATACAGTACAGGAATTTCAAGCATTTGTGAGCTGAAACTCTTCTGTATTATAAATATTGTTTTATAACTCATCCTGATTCCTTAGTAGTTCGGAGGCGCTCCCGGAGTATAAGTGGCCCATGAAAAGGGACCCGGGAGAAGTGGTTCGAGGAACGGACTACTAAAGGGACCCGCGACCAGAAAGTCCCAATGGGGAAGCGAGGCTGTGGGACAAACAGGTGAGGGAGTGATGGTCAGTCGGCGCTCAGATTTAGATGCACATGGATCGGACAAGTCTCACCTTTGTCTTAATATTGTATTCATCGGAAATTTTGGTTAGAATATTGTGCTCCTCCAATACGGTGTTTTTGAAAAATTTTTAAATGACAATAAAAATTCTTGATAAAAATGAACACTCATCAGTCTACACTGGTGCGTTTCCCCAATGTCAAAATGAGCTGTTCAATCATGCAATAACATGACCATCACTCCCTCACCGATTGGTCCTGTCGACCTATCTACCCCCCTGGGGACTCCTTGTCGGGGCTCAGGGGTCCCTTTACGACTTCTTCCCCAACCAAGTCCGTTTTAGTTGGAGCCGTTTGGAGGATTGTAGATCAGAAAATGCGTTAGAATACAGTATTGAAAACTCTTGTGCAGTTGAACCTTTTTAAGTCGTATTTGAAGGGACCAGCGAAAAAACTCGACTTTAGCTGACGACTCGAAGTTTTTAGCTGGAGAAGAAAGACTTTTTTTTCTGGGAAATATAGAATTGCAGGATATTGTAAATGGTGATACTGTATTCTAGGCCTTCAATTGCGTCTCAAATGATTTCCCAGGATGCTGAAATAGGAGGCAAAAGTTCATTTTCCCCATTAGTCTTTCATTTCCTTCCGAAAGACAAGTGATATTTTTATTTTGTTCCTGTCTCAAGAAAATGATAGCCAAAAGCATGAAAAAAACTCGACTTACGGAGGTTTTAGCGGAAAAGCCTTGTAAATTAGAGAGGTTTTTAATTCTTCGTTTGAAAAGGAATTCAGACAAGTAGTTGACAAAAATTTTGACTCAGTGAGGTTCAAATTATCCAGGTTCAACTTTAGTACTGTATTTGCAGATACCTGAAAATATTAACGTTTATTCTTCCAGCAATAATCCCCACTAGTGAAGAACCTTTTCAACTAACCCGTCGGAAGCGAAGAGACCGCGTCGCTGAGAAGATGTTCGGAATCGTTCTCTGCAAAGCTGATTGAAGCATCGGTTTCGCTGGAATGTCTATGTCTTGGTGAAGGACAAGCTTCATTCAATGGTGAAGCCTTCAGGTTTTGCAGTTGCCTCTGATTCTGGAGAAGAGTTGATTCCGTTTACATGAAGGTGCGAAAGAAAGGAATCGAGCGTAAACATTACCGTAATTAAATTGTCTCTAGGACCATAGAAGGACGATTTTCGGCTTAATTGATGATTCACGGGGATCGCCTTGGATAATCTCATTTTATGGTCCCCTGATCCTAGAATGATTTCCGCATTGTCCCTCTGATCGTCGCATATCGTGGGAGATATCTTGTAGCGTTTAGAAATGGGTTTCGTTGTCGTGGGATGAACCTGTCAAAAAGTTATTCGTCAAAAGCTCAATAGTTTGTATCTGTTGAAGTAGGTAATAATCACTGCCTGATCCCCTTGTTCAGTAGCATCGAAAGATTCTGTTCGACTCGTGACTGCCGGAACTTGAGCTACAATCGGCTTTTTACTTCGTGGTGCAGGTTTCGGTTTATAGTTTTTGAAATCGCTACTGTCAAGGAGGGATTTTGTGGCGTATTGACTGTCGCCTGATGCTTTCAGTTGGTCCATGAGTGAAGCAAGGCTAAGCAAATCGTCTCCGTCAAATTTTTCACGACCAAACAAACTCTGCGGAGGTAATACCATTGCAGACTCTAGCATTAGTTGAGATGTAGCTGCCAATCGAGACTCCATTGCGATCAACATGGCTGCAATCCCATCCAAGTCCACTTCTGCAGATGAGAGTTTCGAATAAATACGAAAAATTAGGGGTTGTACAGTCATTTGGCCTCGACAGTGTGACCAAACCGTAAATTTTGAAATTTCACGAGGGGTGTGACCCACTTTGAAATGTGTGACAGACCATGAATTTTTTTTTCTTGCGCAATTCAAGTATGAAGCGGGAAGGATTTATGATTTGAATTGGTATGAGTCCTCGATGTCGATTTATTGCTGGAACAATACGAAAAATGACGATGTTCACTGTGTTTACGGCGTGATCGAATCAATTGGCATTAGCGTGGAGGAGAATGTGTCGAAAAGACCAAGTTCGGTGCCCTTTTACAAGTTATTCGTTTTCCTTTTTGACAACGCGTAATTCTACTTGTAGCTTGCAATTTTTCGGGGTTTTGCGCAGATCATTTAATAGATTCGTTGTAAGTGAAAGTGAGAGATTGTATCTTAAGATTTTCTGGATTGTTTCGCACGAATGCTTGATTGAGTTTTTCGTGAATTTTGATCTTACTTAATGCCTGCATTTGAGATGATGCTTGTTCCACCTTCATGCCAAGAAGTCTGCTCTTTTCATTCCCACTGGACACTGCTGAAGCTTGTTGCTTGAATGATGATTGGAATCGTCCAAGAACGGTCATAAAGTCGCGCAGCAAACCTTCGAAATGTGAGTACATCTCCTAAGGTGGCGTACGGTATAAATCAATTTGCGTGATGAAATCCAGTATCGATATTGGTTTTGTGAACCTTGGCGCAGCGTTTGGAGAAATCGTTGATGATGTTGGTCATGTTTTCCGTCGATTCCAGTTGATCCTTCTGCATTGCTTTCTGTGGACAGAGTCGATCAGTTTTGAATCTGCTTTTCGGTGTGTCGCGTTCCAGTGTACTGTACGAGAGTTGTTACGAGTCCGAGAGGAACTAAACATTTCCGTGACAATCCGCGAACCGAAATTTTCTCATTTCGCTTCTTAAATAAAATACTTATTTCACTATTTTTTCAGAATTATGCGACAATTTTTCATTCTTGTGCAGTTGTGTAAGATAAAAAGCTACTTTCAAGTGACGGCTGGAGTGTGTAAGTTTTCGATCAATTGTGTCAAAGACAACTGCACAAGTTTTATTTAAAATATTTTATTTATATCAGAGACGTTTTAAGAAATTTTGAATTGGTTTTACCATCATGGTGAATAAAAGGATACAACTTCTTTGGACAGCATGTTTGCCATAAAGATTCCGCTTGAGCCTGTATCTGCCTTAAAAACGGACGAATCCTGAAAACGTCATGTGGCATCAGATATCGAGTGCTGTATTTTGAAGAAGAAAAATAATTCACTTAAACTACTTCAACCGATGGTTCATGACGCGAATTTTAAAAAATGGTACACTGTAGTAATACCTGGAAAGTTCAGGTTCCCGATCAAGGTGCGTTATGAAAGCTCTTACAAAAATCATTAAAAAATTGGAGAAAGTTTCTTATGAAATTAAATGATATTAAATGAATGATAAGTTCATTCATATTAAATGATTAAATTAAATGAATGATAAGTTCTTTATGAAATTGAAGAATTTGGTTTCGTCATATCGTACAGAAAAAAATAATGGTAATCTATATAGAACAACCCGCTTATGGTAGGGCTCCCTAACCTGTTGTGAATTCCAATTCTTTCTGTTCACAAAGCAGTTATGATGTACCGGATTAACCGGAAGCTTCATGTATGGCAGCAATTTCAGCTGTGTTAATGCATTTATTTGACGTGACGATCGGAAGTCACAAGTTTTTAAGCAGTTAAAAGAACTGCTTCAACAATTACTAGGAGAGTTTCATTTAGTCTATGGCAATGCAGGACAGGATTGTCCTGTGACCCCGATGATATAAGTACTATAGGACAATATCGTGCAGTTTCATTTGTGATGAGGTTTCCGAGTATCACCAATTTACATGATTGAAAACATGTTTTATTTCTTACCATAACGTGAAGCATTTTTGCTTGAGTTGCTTCGAGTCGATCTTGGCTAGCTTTCACGTACTGTAACTCCTTGTTCAAACGATCCCTCATGGTGTTACCACACTCTAAATGCTGTCTGATTCCTGGATATGTTAGTGCCGATCGTCTGCTTTCGTCGCTTCGCCTTCTAAAATTCAGCGTATTGTTTCGACTGTTCCCTTCAATTTCGATAGAATGCAAACTTCCTGCTTGCTGTCGAATGAAGAAAAATGGTTCAGTAAAAACATTGAAGCTCTTGCTTGCAATCTCGGATCTTGAGAAAAGGGAAAAAATTAAGTGTACAAAGGATATTCATGAGAAAATTCACAGGCATGAGAAACGGTCGCAACTCGTCTGATCCTTGCTTGGCTATCGGCTTGTGAGTAGATTTCCTGCGCAGAGGGGCGAAAATCTTCGGCAAACGGAGTCCTGTGCCAATTTGCGATAACGGTGGAAGTTCGGTTGGCATAAGGACTGCGCAATTTATTTATTTTTTTCTAAGAGCGTGAGATTTTTTTCTTCCAGTCGCAGTGAAGTAGTGCGTGGATTATCGCGATCGTGTCGCGTGAAAGATAAATTTCGTCTTGTACTGATGACGGCAGAAATTTGTTTCGTTCTCTCCGAGGCGCTTCTAGTTTTCTATCGTGAGATGATCATCTTTGAGAATGGTGAAAGTTGGAAGTGGATCATTAACGGATTATCTTCCCTACGGGTTTCCGTGTCTTCCGATTCAGGTCGAACCGGACGAAAATCGCGATTTTACCATTCCGGTCATGAAAATTTAATGCGTGCCTTGTTGATTATTGAGGTATTCATTGCGTATTTATTTAGGTTTCGTGGAATCCCTCTCAAACTTCGTAAATCCCGTGTCATTGCGTTCATTTACATATCGGTGTTCTAACTTCTTTCATTGTCTACCGGAAATTCAAATTTCGGGTAGTATTATGCATTGACTCTTGAAATGTTCACAAGAATCACGTGATCATTCTACAGTTGAACCTCTTTGATACGAACTTGAAGGGGCCAGCAAGGAATTCTTCTTGAATTGGAAGTTTCGAGTTGGGGCAAAAAAAAAAAAAAAGTATGGTGGGACTTTCAGGGGCTTAATTTGCTGAATAAGTGAGTTTACAGGATGCCTAACTTAGAGGCAAGGTTTCATTTACCGTATTTGTCGCTCACTTCCTCTTGAAAATTATCAAGTGAAATTGTCACTGCGTTTTTCTTTCCTTGGTACCCTGAATAATGCCCCGAAGTCCTTCAGAAATTTGAGTTATAGAGATTTGAAGAGAAAGTTGAGAGGGAAGGAGGGTTATTATGCATTGTTCCTGAGAAAATTTGCAGGGTTTCAAAAGAGAAATTCTGAAGTTCGAGTTATCGCGGTTCAACTGTAGTAGAAGAGTGTGTACAGTATTTATAACCAAAATTTCAGTGTTAAGCTCTGCAAATAACCTACCGAATTTCTTTAAACCGCAATGTTTCTGTTCCTAATTTCAGTTATGACTTGTGATGGTAATCGGTTATGCCGGCTGTTTTTTTTTTCTTGATTTGATTAATGGAGCTAGCTTTTTGTATCTCGCGAAAAAGTGACTGAATCTAACTGAAAAACGATTTTTTTCATTTTCAGATACCGGTTTTATCGTCCGGCGTTTTAGTAATCTCAGATGTGCCCAGAAGTGTGAAATTATTGTGTTCATTGAAAACGCGATCTGCGTAATAATGGCTGTTCCTCTGGTCTACTAAGGTGCGCCTTCGGCTAACCCGAGCCACTCAAGTAACAAAGGACTAAAAACGTTGAGCCTTACTCAAGCAGTCGTGAAGGAGATCAAAGCACTGCAGTGCACAGACGTAAAGTATATGAAAGAAATGAATAAATAAACGTGGAACTGTATACCTTTATTTATGCAGTCGTGTAGCTCGCTGACGCTTATTCTCAATGTTCTTTTCTAGCGAAGTTGAATATGTCCTGTTATTTTAACCATGACTATATATTGCCTGCATTTATCGAAGAAATTGGTTTATTCTTGAATCGTTCATCGTTTTTAAATCTGCAAATCCCGAAAACGGTCGTTCGAAACACAGACATGCAGCTTATAATTATCGTAAATAGACCGCACAGACGCGACGTGGTGCGGTCATAATTGGGATGATGCCTCAGATTTTGCAATGAGGTACAGTACAAAACTTGAATTAGCCCGATGAGAAGATAACCTCCACATGTTGACGAAAGAATAGAACAATTTTAAACCTCGTTTGCTTGCCAAGTTTGGCCGTTATTTCAAAGCAAGATAATCTGCTGTCGGACTGCTAAAACCTGCAGCTTTTTTTTTTCCCAGGCTGAATCAAATTAATGTTCCCATGCATAAATGGTCAGCATATTTTATCCAGGATTCTCGAAGTTCCTTTTTGCGGCCTGAATGGACTGCAAAAAATGTGTATGCTCTTGACTATGTTGACATTAAATACACAGTTGAACCTCGATTATTAGAAACTCTTTGTTACATTTTTTCACGTTCCTGTCTGAATTCCCTTTCGAAAAACGCATTAAAAAGCTCTGTTATTCGATTTAGTTATCATATTATTGACACCGTCCTTTTGGCGATTATTTTATTGACAAAGGAAAGAGAAAAATAAAGAAAAAGTCGCTTGATGTGTTTTGAGTGGGAAAAGACTATTTGGGCAAATGAACCCGTCCCTTGTCTCCACATTCAGTCTCATGTCAAAACTCATTTATGAAGCAATTTAAAGCCAATAATGTCACCGATTGCAATTTTTTGTAATTTTGTCGTTCTTTCATTACAAAAATGCTCGTTTCCCGACATCAAAACCTCCCTAACTCGAATTTTTTGTTTTGATGGCCCCCTTGAAGTGCGAGTTCAAGAGGTTCGAATGTACAGTAGTACTATGCGTGCAATATAGATGGAAACTGAAACCCTATTTCGAAGCGCAATATCTGAACGGGATGGTTTGCAACGCGCGGGAAAACTTTCGCTGAACCCCACTTGCGATGCTGCATTAGCAGTAGTTGCGAAAGTTCTGCAGTGAAAGACGCGGAAATTGAGTTTCGTCTAAGTTTTCCTGCTTTTTCCCTCCGCTTCCTTATTCTCCTATTCCGGGCAAATTTGTTTCTTCATTTACTTTCGATTGCCTCATCTCTTCTTCTGGCGCGGAAGCGAGTTTTTTTTTTCTTTTCATGAGAGTATTGGAGGGAGAAAAGTGCTGAAAAAGCCAGTATCCCGTTCGAAATCAACCGGTTGTGCTACTTCATTCAGTGTTGAATGCTTATCATTGTTTCTTTTTAATTTACGGTAATTGCGCACCAAACTATATTTTCCTGTGACGCATTATTGTGATTATCGTATGCTCCAAATGCTGAGGATCAAAACATTGTCGGTTTCCATGCCGATAATGAAAGCTGAAATTCCGGAATGAAATATTATGCGATAATCAAGCTCAAGCGTATTTTTAGCACTTCCAATCGTCGTACGTTTGAATGAAACCTTATCAAAGGATTTTATTATTCATTATATTCACATTTGTCGATGTCCAAGGGAAAAAAAGGTAAGACTTCACACTTCTTAAAAGAAGTAAAAAGGTAATCAACAATGAAAACTTTTCTCGACATTTTTTAATTACAACGAAAAGACCTACTATTGTAAAGAAACCCCTGTTAGAATTACATTGCTATGTTTTTGCGGGCAGATTTTACCAAGACCCGTGAAATCTTATGCCATTTGAATTTCTACGACATTGAAGAGGTCGAATAAAATTCCTGTATTGCTCATCCGGGCATTTAGCCAAATTTTTCCTGCTTAATTTGTTAAATTCTTCAGTGGCCTGTGCTCTCAAATGCGCTAATTCGTATTGGTCTTCGTCTGTTATCGGTGAAGCGTTTTATCTGTGATATCCCTTGAAGACATCAAATTTCGTTGTTGTTGTGATAGAACGTGATCATCATAGAAGGTTATACTTTCTTAATCCGGGAAACGTATCAAAAGTAGTTTGAGCCCACACAGTCAGGGCCGGATTAAGGTGGGTGCTATTGATGCTGCAGCATTAGGCCCACAGGAAAAATAGGCCCCTGGAGAATTTGAAAAAAATTTCTCAATTTGGGAAATCCAAATTTTTTTCAATTATGAAAATCNTTGATCAAGACCCGTGAAATCTTATGCCATATGAATTTCTACGACATTGAAGAGGTCGAATAAAATTCCTGTATTGCTCATCCGGGCATTTAGCCAGATTTTTCCTGCTGAAATTTTTCAATTCTTCAGAGGCCTGTGCTCTCAAATGCGCTAATTCGTATTGGTCTTCGTCTGTTATCGGTGAAGCGTTTTATCAGTGATATTCCTTGAAGACATCAAATTTCGTTGTTGTTGTGATAGAACGTGATCATCATAGAAGGTTATGCTTTCTTAATCCGGGAAACGTATCAAAAGTAGTTTGAGCCCACACAGTCGTAGTGTCACTTTCTAAAAATCGTAATTGTGATGGGCCACGGGGAGAAGGACGGACACGAGCTATCGTAGTGCTGGCCGAGGCAGCTGTGTTCCATTTTCAATCATCGCAGTAGCGTCAAGTAATATTATTTAAAATGATTTCGGTCGTGTGTTGGAATTCGTTAGTGATTGTACGAGAAATGTCCCAAGTCAGCTGACGCATGGAAAATTATAGCTGTTCGCGAAACGAATATACAGTCAATATATATGACTCGAATATCTAAAAAAGACAGTTTGAAATGTTTGTCCACGTTATCGAGTGCTGAAGGTCATTTGAGATTTTTTATAAATATATAGAGTTCGTGATAGGAACGACGTCGTCGAACTTGGCGACGATTACATTGAATACAATATTCCCGATGTGTCTCTGAATGAGGAGGTAATTTGATTGAAATCTTTTTCGTTTAGAATTAAAGAAATCCACGTTTATACAATTGGTTCTGTCTTAGTACTTGTGGACCAAGTTCAAACTTTGTTTTGGAGTCGAGGTGACAAATATCTTATTTATGCGAATATTAGCCCCTCTTGTCAAATTTTACAAGCTCAAGAGCTAGGGGGTGCTATTGTTCGCATATTTATGCTATTTGCATGAATATGCGCCTATTTCAGGTATTCGTCCTATTCGCGGCCCACGAAACAATCAAACAATTCATTTCTGTAGTTCTTTTGAAATTGAAATTGATGAGGTCTTTATACAGTAAACTACTATCACTTCAAGATGCGCGAGTCATTGATTGAAGGGGAAGAGCAAGGGTTGCTCTTGTGTGATACAATTTTCCTCTTTTCTGGTGAAAACAGAAATTTATTCAAATTTTAGGTTCTGAGAGTCAGAACACTAGAAAAGTAAATGGGTGGTTACATCCGCCTGTAAATGGAATTTTAATGTTGTGCACGAAAATCTTGTGATGTGAATATACCCGCGTGAATGAAGTACCTCATTCCAATTTACGGTTCAATCGTGTTCAAGTACAGTTCTGCAACTTTAAATCCATCGTAAATGAATAGCTGCTTTCAAGGTTGAGTCTGAAGTTCTTCTTCTGCGGAATGCAATGCGTTTTCTGTCTCGTGAGAAAGAAACGAAGTCCAAGGAACGGGACTGACAGTCGTAATTTTGTTCGCGCATCAACTAAAAAGTCCCGTTGTCTTAGTTATCTGAGAAGAAGGAAATTTTAGTACCCGTAATCCTGGAAAGCATCTGGCTTTACCGTGCCACCACTAACATAAAGTAACGGTTTTTGTCATTTTGGCAGATGTTCATTGGTTAGATCAGTGATTCGACAGTTGCAGCGCATCAGTTCAGTCTGGGTACCATATGAGAAGAAACGGAAAATTTTCTTTTCTGACGTGTTCAGTTATCTTGTGCTGGGCTTTAAAAATTATTTTTCTGGATTGTGTCACTTTTGAGATGTACAGTAGCTTTTTTCGCGTTCTCCAAATGTAAACTATGAAATTTATTGAAATGAATGACGAATTACGAGGTACAGTACAGTATCTATTTCGCAATTTCCGGAGGGGTGCTCATAT